CATGGCAAACCCAATATCTCTTCCTTACTCAAACTGATACATTTGTTGGAAGAAATGAATCAAATCATATTGTTATAAAAGATCAAGAACTTGGTAAACGTCATGCAAAAATTAAGAGTTTTCAAGGAAAAGTCGAAATTTTCGATTTGGGATCTAAATCTGGAATTTATGTTAATGAAATAAAACTCGAGTTCCGAGCTTCTCATACTTTAGAAAAAGATGATAGGATTACATTGGGGAAAGTTATTTTACAATACCTTCCTGCTGGAGAGTATGAAAACCGTACTGATAAACTTTTGCCTATTTATAATAAGGCATATTTATTAACAAGCTTGGAAGAGGCATTTACCAGTGCAAGAGATAAACAGGAGGATTTAAGTTTAATATTTTTTGATATAGATCATTTTAAACACATTAATGATGAATATACTCATGATGCAGGAGATTATGTTTTGAAAGAATTGGCTAAATTAGTTCAAACACTTATTCGCCCTGAAGACATTTTTGCACGATATGGCGGAGAAAAGTTTACTATCCTTCTTAAGAATAAAAAATCAGAGCTAGCTTTCGAAAGTGCAGAGAAAATTCGAAAAGCTATTGAGTCTCATGAATTTATTTATAATGGAAAACGTTTATCAGTTACAGTCAGCTTTGGAATTGCTGATATGAATTCGTCTGTGGAATCTCATGAAGATTTGCTTAAGCGTGCTGATGATGCTTCATATGTTGCTAAAAGACAAGGTCGAAATCGGGTAAAAATTTGGACTAAAGAAATTGACTCAGTTGGTAAAGAAATTGCCTCAAATTGTAAAGAAATTGATTCAAATGGTAAAGAAAGTGATTCAAATAGTAAAGGAATTGGCTCAAATGGTAAGTTTTGAAGCTTTAAACTACAGAATCACAAATTTCCATTAATGTTAATATTGCTTATCTAAATGTTTTCAGATTATCTTGAGATTTTTTCAAGACCTACATACTTTCCTACTAATAAAAAAACTATACAACATGACAAATTGCCCTCTGTAACAAACGAGCTGTCAGTGACATTTCAATTGAATCTCAAGAGACATAGTTCAAACTGGATAACTATTTTTCATAAAGGTATAATTAATTAATTAATTGGCGGAGCTTGTCTTACGTTAATTAAGGTTGGCCGATTTAAATCTATGGTTAGCCTTTAATTCTAACGTTGGATAGGATAGAGTCGGGAAATAGCTATCGGTGAAATCATAATTAGCACAAGAATTATAATTATGATAATTATGATATAATGGTTAATAATCATTATACGTATCATAATTAGGGCTGTTATCGGCTTGGATGGCTTGGCTTGGCTCCTAAAAGTCATGGCTACAGCTTGAGCTATGCTATTGGGGCCGTGACTTGCTATAACCTGAGTCATAACTCAAACATTGGTTCTAGTAGCCATGGCTCAAGCTGTAGTTTTAATAGCTAGAAACGTAATATTAATCATGTAAAAATTAAGAACCGTGGCTTAAGCCAAGTCATAGATAAGCTATGACTCAAATCTAAGCTCAAGCCACAGCTCAAGCTACGACTCTAAGCTATAGCTTGATTATGATTCAAGCTATAGCTCAATTGGCTCGGGTCAGTACAGCTCTATTATGCAGCTAGAGCCTGTCTTAAATAAGCTGTTAACAGCCCTAATGGTTAAACATTATCTAAAATATCTTTTTTTTTCATTGCAAAATAAAAAATAATAGGTGAAGATGCGCAGCAAGCTCGTACCCCAGCGCTTTGGCTGACGCCTAATGATTCACAACCATGCCTTGTATGTTCAGTAAATAGCAATTGGAATAAAAATGTTCTAACTGAAACTAGGCTTGAGTTAAACAAATGGTATCACATAGTATACACACTTTCTGAGCCTCAAAAATGTATGGAGTTATACGTAAATAGTAAATTAATTGGGTCCATAGATACAAAAGAAATTAAATTCAATGAATTTCCTTTGAAAATTGGGCATTCTGGCACATACACAGACTTTCAGGGACAAATGAGGTATGATTTACTACAGCTAAGGTATATTTAAAAAAATCCGCTATCTAATAAAAAATTGTTTTTCATAGCAATTTTCGGTATTATAATATTCGCTTATCCACTGATGAAATTTTTAAAGATTATATATCATATCTTAGAAATCAGGTAAAAATTTGGACTAAAGAAATTGGCTCAAATAGTAAGTTTTGAAACTTTAAAATGTAGAATCTCAAATTTCCATTAATACTAAAATTGCTTATCTAAATATTCAGATTGTCTTGAGATTTTTTCAGGATCTACATATTTCCCTACTAATAAAACAACTATACAACCAAATGAGTTGCTCTCTGTAACAAACGAGTTGTCAGTGACATTTCAATTAAATCTCGAGAAACATAATTCAAACTGGATAACTATTTTTCTTAAAGGTATAATTAATTAATCAATTAATTGGTGGATCTTGTTTCACGACAATTAAGGTTGGTCTGATTTAAGTTATGGTCAGCCTTTAAAGCTAATGTTGGATAGAATTAAGATCAGGAAGTAGCTATTGGTGAAATGGGGTAAATCCATAATTAGCACAAGAATAATAATTATGATAATTATGATATAATAGTTAAACGTTATCTAAAATATGTTTTTTTTTTATTGTAAAATAAAAAAATGATAAGGTGAAGATGCGCAGCAAGCCCGCACTCCAGCGCTTTGGCTGACACCTAATAATTCACAACCATGCCCTGTATGTTCAGTAAATAGCAATTGGAATAAAAATGTTCGAGCTGAAACTAGGATTGAGTTAAACAAATGGTATCACATAGCCTACACACTTTCTGAGCCTCAAAAATGTATGGAGCTCTATGTAGATGGT